AATCGGAGTGGCTACATCCTTATCTGAAGCATTGTCCTGGTGACTATTATTGTCGGAGGCAAGTGCTTCGGCTACAGTGCGGTTAAACGCATCAGCAGCGGCAGCGATTTCTCTCTCCATCTTCTTCTTTTCAGCTCTACGCTTCTTAGAAAGAGTATTGTCTTTCTTGGTCATAATCTTAACTTATGACTGCTAGCTGGTCTCTTAAGGACTAGCTTGGACAAGAATAATTTTGTGGTAGTTAATCTACCTTGACGCTTAGGTAGTCTAAGTAATTAATACCTTTGCTAACTTTAAAATGTGTAAGATTCGGTCTATTAAGGCGATATTAACGCCTTAGAGTAAATAAACGCGTAGGTAAATTCTAAGAATAGTGAAAATATCAAAGTGAATAAACGAAATGAGACTTTTAGTAAAGTTAGGTATGCCTCGTGAAAACTTCAATACTCTGAGGGATTGTGAGGCTGAGACATTGCCTATATCTAATCCTCTCAGTACTGTTTCCGCCGAAGGGATTTTATTTAGTGTTTCGTTGTCACTCTATTAAGAACTATGGTATGTTTCATTGGGGCGAATCTGAGAGACTCATAAAATCCTATCTTTAAGAAAAAAAAAAGGAAAAATACTCTTGATGTCCTTAGTTATTGTCTTAACCAATAACTTGCCACTTATCATGAATTACCGACTTAGCCTTCATCAGACTGGCACATCTGGTTGGCTGATCGGAGGATCAACTAGATAACGTTAATAGTCCATAGAAACCTATATTCGGTTGAGCCATCTCGCTACCGAAGTATTCCGATATAAATAAAGTTGGAAAGTAAATATAGTTCTATTAATACAACTAGACCAACTCTTAAGTTTGATATTTTACTGGAGCCTTTTAATGGCCTCGTCCAAATATCTGATATGTAAAGTGGAAAAGGTATTAATTAATAAAACCGTTAAAAACCATTTAGGAAACTTAAGTTCTTCGTACTATTATCTTCGTACTATTAAGAGTACGTTTATAATTTACGTACTGCTTAAGAGTACGTTTATAACATAAAGTCTAATGTGGAGGCCCGGCTATTACAGTGGCAACTTTGCCATTTCCCAAGAATAAATTAGTTGTTTTGTTATGGATAGCCATATCCGTAGCGTAGGCTACTCGGCGTGAGATAGCAGGACTTCAGCTCCTGGATCAAAAAGTGCTATAACTTTTCTCCAGTTTGAAATATACGTTCATCTCCTTTGGTATGGATATTATTGAACTTCTTCTCATAATCTTGCTCTAGTGCACACATATGGAACTGTCAGTGCTTAACTTAGACGTCCGGTATGTCCTTGCAATCATCTTTGTGCCAACCGTTAGTACCCTTGCAAGTAGTACACTCTTTCATATAGTGTCCAAAGTTTGGCTTGCCTGGTGCACACTTAACAGAGTCGTGTTTACCATTCCACTTGCCATCACGTTTAGTGAGGTTGTAACCACACTTCCGGAGGCCGTATTTCTACATGTCGATCAAATCGTGGAGGTAGGACAAGTACATCCTCCATGTGTTGGACATTGGCACTGGTTATTCGATTTTGCGAGTAACACCGGACAGGACAAAGGAGACCACGGTACAGACGTTGTTAGAGATTTTTTGGTGAACCAAAAGTTTCCCACGACGACTACAAACCAGCATAGGACCATGGTTTACAAACAAAATAGTGCACACTCTGGTGCAGAAAATGGGCATACTACACAAGGTATCGCATCCCCATATCGCTCACAACAAGAATTTGGGGGCAGCTGAGCGTCATCATAAGAATATTACAAGATCAATACGGCAATGCTTTGAGGCAGCACCACTTCAATGGGATAAACGCTTTCTATCCACGATGCTCTATCAAAACCTCCGTATCTCCCGCAGGTATAAGAGTGCACTCTTTAGCGTGTACTTCAGACACAGAAATGTACCATTTGCCGACTTTATTGATGTGATAACGGAATCACAACCATTGACTAACGATACATGGGCGGAACAATTAGACGAGATGAAGGATAACATCTTACCAACACATTACCTTATTACCAAGAGTTTTACGGGAAAGCTAACAAAGACTTTCAAACGTCTACATGCCGAGGACTTGGTCAATTTTGATGGTGCCCTCGGAAGGCAATGCGTCATCTCTTTGGTTCGTATGATACCAAGACCAGAATCGGGCAACGCTACAAGTTGGCTAACCCACAAAGACGAATCCGCACCATCAGAATTCAAAGGCAAGCTAGTTCGTGTTGAACACCTCCGGTACATTGTAGTACAAACCCACCACTTGACAATACCTTGTGGGCAGAAGGCGGAGTTGAGTTCCGCCATATTATTAAGTATCGTACGACCGATAAGACAGGCAATTTTGAATACTTCCAGATCGGGGTATTAGTGTTATTTTGGTTTAGGTTATTTTAGTTTACAATATTAAAATCTGTAAACTTAGTTTGTGCCGAATAGGGTTTTGCATTGGCACATGTCTCAGACATTAGATTATGCAATTAAAATTGAAAGGATCAAATAATAACGTCTACCTCTGTACAGAGGGGGAACGTTTATCTATATATGAAAATCATAGTGCAAAATTACTCTACCAAAACACCCAATTCCTGGTATTTATCCAACACAGGGGTGTGTACATTGATCCTTTAACTAGGATTTAGAGTCCATCTACAGAAATGCATATCTTATTTTGGCCGACGACATATGCCTACACCATGTATACTACGATTCTCCGTCCAAAGCCATATGCCTGCTATAGGTGGGAGTATACATTTAACCTGGGGTTCAATCGAAGTAAGTGTGGATACCCTGAATGTCACACCGACCGTCCTCCGGACTCAGACCTTGGGACCTATTTCTATTCTTTCAACATATTAACATCTCGGACTCCCAATGCACAAAGGTAGAATCGCTTTCGACCGGCTCCTATAATCGCTGTCGGCCATGCACGCTGCGTTTTCATTCGGGGTTAGCACTGGTGATTTGCTCCACCCGTACACCAAGCTACTTATTTATAAGACATACATCCAGTCCACAACTGTGTATGGTCCAAGTGTGTACTACTGCATTGACCCTTCTCGTCTAAGCGCCATATTTGAGCTGCCAACACTAGTGTCCCATCTACATGAGATTATTCTCAAGTATGCCTGTATTACCTGCGACCGGAAAACACCCCCGCCTAGCAACCAACCTCAAAAAAGACAAATCCCCCTCAATTTCGTGGTCCTATTATCCGCTATCCAGTTAATGAACTACGTTGTCTAGCACATCGTGGCTATACGTATCAGAGATACCTGACTATGGTCGAATAGGAAGTTCAATACCACAGAAGCTCAATACCATGCAGCGAACAAAATCGATCTATTGCAGCTGACTGACATTCCGCATTTGGGCGTACGCGCTCACAAAATGGAGCAATGGGCAGAGATCTCATCTCCGACAAAACTTTTTCTTTGATCGCCTAATTTGAAATTTGAAATATCTCTGGCACTATGTACCAAAGTAACCAAACCTTCTGGTTATGGAATATGTATCATAAGTATGTACCATAGTATACTACTATACTTCTTCAATTTTAGCTTCAAGAATTATCAAGATGCATTCTATTCTAGAGTACTCTAGATTACTCTTATCAGAATAATTTTTTACAGGTCCATGGCAAAGAGTATACATGGTAAACACGGCCTTGGGGCTTGGACTGGGAGAGAAAAAGTAAAACCTTGGGCTAAAAACCAAGACAGTACTACTCTAATCCTCATACTCCTAAGTGAGTTGACTCTGAACTCTGTACTTTATAGGAGACTGGAGCTGGCCCTGGACCTGCTGGGGCCTGAAGGTAGATTTTTCATTTTTGTTCGAACTCCAGTGTCGGAGTGAATGGAAAGACGAAAATCAATTGTCTGCTAAGTATTTTGAAAAAAAAAGCAAATAACTAATAAGCGAGTTGTGCGGACTAGGACTCATTGCTTCCAAATTTAGGTATTTATTTAATTATGGTACATATTGGTATGAAAATATTTAATATGTTTTCAAAAAAATAAAAGTTAAGCTGCCGTGTGGGCCGTGGTGTCAAACAAAAAAAAAAAACAAAAAAAACACAAAGTGCACAAAGTGCGCACAAAAATAATACTCTGTTCACATTTTTAGAAAACTGTAAAACAAAAAATCAAAACAGCCAAAGATATTTGCGGCAGTATGTACATACATATGATACATAGCCCCAGCCCTCAGGCCCTCAGGTTCTCGTCATGCAGGCTGCGGGCCTCGATCGAAGACTTGCTCTCCCTTGTTACAGTTCGGCGTTTGTTCGGCCGTTCGTCTCTCTGATTCTTATCTCTCAAACCCTCTTTTGTTTGAAACAAAAAATAGTTTCAACTTTCAAGTCTTTACAGTCTACAGTGACTACTCTCTACAGTCTACATACACTCTATTTACAGTAGTATTTGTTTTTAAAAACAAATATTTACTATGTAAATATTTACAGTTACACTTCAGACTTCAGTCTTGAATCTTCACAGTTCACAGTTCACGATTCACACTTTAATTTTTTCAAACATTTTTCTGCAGAAGAAAAAGAGCAGAAAAAGATCTTGTCAAAGCTATTGAAATTTCAGCCGGGTGAACTTGTGAAGTGGTGAACAGACGAACAGTGAACAACTGAACACTGAACTCACTGCTCAGTGAACTGTGAAGTCAGAAGTCAAAGTGTGAACTGTGAAGAGTCAGGAGTCAGACGTGAGCTTTCCTTTGCTGTCCACACTCCACCAATGTTCCCCTCATGGGCATCCCCCCCCACCCCCCTCCTATATTCAGGACAGGTTCGGAATTCGCCTTATTTCCATATTACTGATGATTTCATTTCTTTCTATCCGCGTATGTGTGAGAACATCATGTGGATGGGTCTTCTTTCGAATAGTGCTGACAAGTAATATGGTGTATAGATCGGACAGTATATAAAAGGAGATCTGACAGGCTTGTCATAACATCAAATTTCAAAACTCAATAAAATACACAACAAAAGTACTATACGATAGCTATGAAGTCGTTAGATTTCGCCGTTGTCATAGTGGCTTCCACCACCATGACCGCCATGGCACTACCCACAGGTTTCGATTTCACTATCGGAGACGTGGCAGTTAAACCTCAATCAAGCGATGCGTACGAGTGCTCTGATGTCATGTGCATGATGCACTGCGAAGAAGTTTTAAACAGGACGAGTCTGTCTGCGACATCTGTGAGTGTGTAGACCCAGAAGAACACAAGTGTGATGAATTTTTGTGCACCATGTACTGTGAAGACGGATTCAAAAAGGACAAGCATGACTGCGACATCTGCGAATGTGAGGAACACAAGTGTGATGAGGTTGTGTGCACCATGTTCTGCGAGGACAGATTCAAGAAAGACGAGCATGACTGTGACATCTGCGAATGTGAGGAACACGTGTGTGACGATAAGGAGTGCAAGATGAACTGCGAGTCTGGATTCAAGAGGGACGAGTACGACTGCGAGATTTGCGAATGCGAGGAGCACAAGTGTGATGAGGTTGTGTGCACCATGTTCTGCGAGGACGGATTCAAGAAGGATGACCATGACTGTGGCATTTGCGAATGTGAGGAGCACAAGTGTGATGAGGTTATGTGCACCATGTTTAGCGAGGACGGATTCAAGAAAGACGAGCATGACTGTGACATTTGCGAATGTGAGGAATACGTGTGTGAAGATAAGGAGTGCAAGATGAACTACGAGTCTGGATTCAAGAGGGACGAGTACGACTGCGAGATTTGTGAATGCGAGGAGCACAAATGTGATGAGGTTGTGTGCAACATGTTATGCGAGGATGGATACAAGAAAGACGAGTATGATTGCGACATCTGTAAATGTGAGAAACACAAATGTGATGAGGTAACATGCCACATGGAGTGCCCCTAGGGTTCAAGACCACAATTGTGAGATTTGCGAATGTGCACCGAAAGCTTGTGAGGACGGTTGCAACAGCTTCTTCGACGGTTGTAACACGTGCACTCGCAATGAAGATGGTTCTCAAACATGCACTCAGATGTTCTGCGAGACAAACGAGGAGGCTAAATGCTTGGACGCTCCAGACTTCTGTGCCGAAGGGTGCAGTAAGTACTTCGATGGTTGCAACACCTGCACGTGTGGCGATGGTGCTGAGGCTGCGTGCACAGCAATGTTCTGCGCCACAGAGGGGGTACCCAAGTTGGACAATGACGTCACTGCTGCTCTGGAAGAATGATTGGTTCGCCATTGTGGAGCGTGAGGTGTGGTCTCAGTCATAGCTGTGTGCAGATGGTTGTGTCCTATTTGATTTGTAAGTTGTCATTGTATGGCTCGCGACAGAAGCTTTAGACAAATAAAACATCACTTCGCGAAGGGTTTGAGCAACTATGCAGTGTTTTAAAAGCAGTTTCTACAAGCGTTCGTACTTAGGGCTTTTGATTTCGGACACTTTCAAACAATACTACTTGCTACGTTTGTAATAGAACGTGTGCGGTTCGTCAATACTAAAAATCATCCCCGTGAAGTTCATCAATTGCTACGTTTATAACAGAACGAGTGCGTTTCAATAATAGTAAATATCATCTTCGTCAGACTATCATTTTCTAGGTTTATTACACTGAGCGTGTGCAGCAGCTACGTTTATAACAGAACGAGTCGTTTCATCAACAGTACATAGCATCCTCGTCAGACTATCATTTGCTAGGTTTATTACACTGAGCGTGTGTAGCTATATTTAGAACTGAGCGTGTGCGTTTCATCAATAGTGAATAACGTCCTCGTTAAATATATATTGCTTATATCTATTGGTTAACAAATATGGTTAGGCCTCCGCTCAAGGAACAGGGCTTAGAATTTCAAGTCATCCGCTCTGGAACGGAAGAGGGACGGCTTCATTCAAGCGGTAGGTGTCGGATGAATAATATCTGCGTACAGGTTTACGCCGCTGCGGGTCTCTTTGACTGAGTTATGATACTCAGCCAAACCCGCATTATATGCCGATCTATTGATACTCAGCCAAACCCGCATTATATGCCGATCTATTGGTGGCTACTCAATAGTCATGTGGTAACTTTCTGAGATGTCGAATTCGATCTCAGACTATATACGTTTAAACAAATTATATCCAGAATAGACAACTTAGGCAGCCTTGCTACTGCAGGCGCTGGTTGCCATGGTTGCAAGGGCTTTCAGTGAAGGCACGTCGACCCATATATGGGAAACGGTGGCTACGCGGGTCTCATCACGTGCACTCTGGCGGCCTCCATACTGCAAGACAAAAGGAATATAACGTAAAAAGGTCAGCACACCACTACACAAAGCGCATCCACTCACGACACTCATGACACTCATAGCACTCACGACACTCGTGACATACTTGAAGCAACACGTCTGTGGTACACACGTCTTCGCCAGCAAGGTGCGTTTGATGATCAGTTCATACCAACAACAACAACGACTAGCTATAACATGGTAGTCGCATGCTTCGAAGAATGAGGCTGAATGTATCCACTTAAAAGGCGTTTCAAATGCACACATTTGAAACTGTATGTGTATCTTGAAATAAATATGCAAACGAAAGGACGCGCCTCTATCGTAGATGTTCGGCACATGCCAGCAAGCACCAAACTTCCGTTAAGCCAAAGTGCATAGAAAGACCCGAAGCAAAATCATAACTGGTCTGTGATACTAGCACTAGGGTACTTCCGCAGACAAACGTATCTACAACCAAATAGAATATAAGCGCTTACCAGTAATACTTGACCAGCCGAGGTAATGACATGGGTGTGGAAGAATATCGGGAGCAGGCCTTTCGCCTTCACCTTTTCCCACTTCAAAGTGTCCATATTCAAGGCCCACATATCAGTGTACGAGTCTTTACCATTCGTGCCACCACATATATATATCTGTGCGTGTGGGGACGGGGAGTGCACACATTAGTCATCGGCAAAGAACCAAACAATATGAATATCAAAGACCAGCGAGCATTCAGATGCCAACTCGTGTTATGGCAGATAGCTGTACTTCCCCATGCTAGAGATTCGGGGTATGTGAACAGAATTGATTTGAACAGAATTGGTGCAGGACATAAGAGGCTGGGAGAGCGCTTAGATCTCTCGTGGATGATTATTCTGTATGCTTGATAACTATGGAAGCATGTTTCACATATATGCATGTCGCATAGATAGATGTATATACCTACGTGGGCTGGTTGCTAGTCGATGAGGCATATAAACTATATTGTGGGCGAACGTGCGCCACATATAAGTAATTGTTGGAACATCGCGGACTCTCATATGGTCGGTGAAATAGCCACTAGTGGTGACTGTTTTGTTTACCCACTCAATTGTATCGGCGTAGTACAGGGCACAATGAACCTAGATAGGATACAGCCCTACCAGATCAGCCGGGTAACAGAGAGCGGAAAACTGGCCAAATAGACATACATACACACACACTTGCACAGATGCAGTACACGCCCACTCGACATCCCATACAGGTACATAGACCATCATAAACTATCTTAAACCAACTTCTACACACACACACACATGTATACATATACATACACACACACACACACACACACACATATATATATAATTATATAAACAAGCCTGTTACCACGCCCCACCTTGTTCTTGTGCACACAGCATGTGTGCGACCGTCTTGCGGACGGGTACAACGAGCTGACCTCCCCCTCCGGCCTAGTCTCAATCACGCGCACGCTGCCCGTCCAGCTGTCATGGACATGCCCCCCTGCGTCCATATCCGCGCCGTTCCTATCGTCTTCGCCGTCCGTGTCTGTGGCTGTGTCGATATCTGGGTCTGACTCACCGTCCGAGTCCAAAAGCGAATCCGAAGACACGCCAAGGCCTTCTGCACTGTCGTCGGTGGTTAAGAACATATCGCTGTCGGGGTCCTGCAAGTTGGCTTCCCCCCTTTGTTGTATGCTTGTCTCCTGTTGGGCGTAGTTGTCTGCCTGTATGTGTGCATGGCTAGGTGTGTGTGTATCGGGTTGTGTGTGTTCACCGTCGTCTGCACTTGATGCAGCGTTGTACTGTACGTGTTCTTGTCCGTGGTCTTGTGCTACCCCTCCTCGCGCTTCTGGCGCCCGTGGAGGCATTGGTGACATCGGATTAGTTCGTCTGTACGGGTCCTGCTGCGCCTGGGCATTCATAGATACCAAGCGATCAATAAACGCCAACCCTCTAAGCCGTTGCTGCTGTATTTGTTGTGTGGTTAATTCGGGTCTCATACTCTCTGTACCTCTGACTCGCTGTTGGTCTATCTGTTGTGCGGTTGATTCCTGTCCGTTCGCTGTGCCTGGTGCGTCCGCGTGTGGTTGCCGTCCCGTTGCTCGCTCCGCCGTTAAAGCGGGATGGCCGGATGTGCCCATATCCATATCTCTCGTACTATTGTATGTGCTTGCTAGCTCATGCATATCCGTGTCTCCATCAGAGCTGTGTGTAATTCCCCTGGGGCTGCTTGTATCGCCACTCGAGTGAGGCGTGTCTGCATGTAACTCTGTGCTCGTATTCAAATGTGCGCTGGCAGCGACAGCAGTGTGTGTGTGTGTGTGTGTGCGTGTGTGTGCATGTGCATGTGCGTTTATGTGTGTCTCTGGCACTAGCAGGGCTCCTAGTGCTGTGTTCTCAACCCATTCGTCGCCTTGTTGTTGTAGTAGGACGATGGATCCGTTGGGGCGCAACTGCAGCTCGGCGCCATCCAACACGGCCTGTATCTATAAATAGAATGAGCACAAAACAAAATAGTGTTAAAATACAAAATACATCGGAAGAGAAACATGTGCCACCAAAAAAAACAAAAAACAAAAACAAACATTCCAGGCTTGGCAGGAAGTATCGACATGAGACATTCGTTTTGGCCTGGCATATTTCATCCGACTGTGTTGTACGAGATTATCCAGTACACAGACAGAGACACACAGACCATCCACATATGAAGACACACTTATCCACACACCTGTGTCTCATTTGCTCTCATATACGCTAGACCCCATCTGAGCAGTCCTGGGAGCAGACGTCGCAGCCGCTCTACACTGGGTAGGTTGATTTGATCGGTGTTTTGTGGATCGACTCCGAGTATGGTGGCACCAACAAACCGCATATGCTGCTACACTCGCGAGAAAGAAGGATATGTTTGTATGTTAGCGTGTCGAGGGAGGCGATATATATATATATAAATATACACATACATATAGATATAGTGTGGGTGGTCTGTGTGATAGCACTCAGATTAGTGACCAACCAAGCACGGGATGTGGTGATACACGTGCGTAGGAAAGATCTAAAAAGACAACTTGGGGATTGGGAGTAATATATATATATATATATAACACCTACACACACACATATATATATAGATATATATAACACCTACACACACACACATATATATAGATATAGATTTACACATACACATACATACACACACACACATATATTTATATAGGTATGCAGCATACCATGCTATTGGGTACTGTATCACGTTCTGACTCGCCCTCGCTCTCGGTGTCCCAGTCCTCCACATCACTCTCTCCCAAGGCAGGCACCAGAGACCATGTGTTGGTGTTGAAGTCGAGGGCGTACACTAACAGTTGTGTTTCTGTTTGGCAGTCTGGTGAACCGCCTCCTAACACGTAGAGTTTGTTACCATACACGACGCACACGTGCTGTGGTAGGTGTGGAGATGGGCAGGTTTAGAGGACTGGGAAAAGGAGACACGTATATGTGACTTCTATATATATATATATATATATATACACATACACAAATACGTACATACATACATACATACATACACACACACACACATACATACATACATACATACACACACATATATATATAAATATATATATATATACGAGTGAAGAACATAGCGGATTGCACCGTGCGTAAACAATCATACTGAGGCTATATGAGACCGCCATCATATATATTAGCCATATTAGCGTAGGGTAAACTGACATACATGGCGCACAACCTGGAGCGAGAAATATACTCAAAAGCCCAACAAGATACACGGACGCGTCAGGGCAAATAAAATAGATACATCCGTTCCGTGTACTGTTTTTCGACAGTCTACTGAGTCTTAACTTTCCATAAGTTAGTATCAATGATCAACAAGTTCAACAAGTACTAGATCGAGAGCTTGTTACATAGTACACACTCGCGGATGCCTGTATACACGAGGTTCGGCTGTAGAACCAGTATATATATATATATATATATATATATATATATATATACATACATATACTAATGCATCCACGAAACGTACACAACACAACATAGCGTGTAAATACTCAGTAGGTTGCCATGCAAATGCAGCACCACTCCGGTATAAATATACTATATGCGTAACATGTGCACATGGAATTCAGTATAGTTATCATTATAGGCACACTTATTTATCTTTGTATACATATTTTGAACATCGACATTTAACAATTAACAATACCTTGTATGTCGGCGGAGGTTGGTCAGGATTCAATGCTCGCACAGTACTCGCTCTGGGAGTGACGCGTTGAGTCGGCTGTGGGCGTGGCGAGGTAGCGCAATGAATGATGATAGAACGAGCAGAAGGTGGCGAGTGGAGAAGCAGTATGCAAGATGTGATACAAAAGGAGATGCCGAGAATATATACATATACAGATACTTATGCAAATACATATTACATATACATATACATATATGTATGCAGATACATGGGCTATACAAATAAGAACAAATAAAAATTCAAATTTACGGACATATACATATACATGGAGTATAAAAGTAAGATTCATTTACATATACATATACATATACATCCATATACATACACATATACACATTGTCAAATTCAATATAGACGCCATACAAAAAGAGATGCACGCAATTGAAAATTGCAGGGTATAAATATATGGTACTGGAAACGCTTTAGAAAACCATACACTTGTGACAGACGTGAGCCGACACAGAAAGACACACACACGCACAATAGGAATAGAACCATATAATCCAATACCACAAACATACGATTATTTGAGGCTCTGTTCGTCGCCGCAGCGGTTGGGATAACAGAGACTGATGGGCCTGTATGGATGCTCTGGGCATAGGCAACACATGGGTCTCCATCTCAATCATTTCACGTGTGCGTAGACAGTAACGCCAGCAGTCGTCAAAGAACACATGTCCAGAGGTCCCGCCGTAGATGTAAAGGTATCGTTTGCACTCACTCAGCGACATGGAATGGCCGTATCGGGCTGCTGGGACCTTTCCCGTGTAGTGTAGCTGTGTATGAGGTATATATATACATGAATATGTATAAATATTAATATATCAAGTGTATATATATATATATACGTATAGATATACATTTACATACGTATAGATATATCACATACACACACACACACACACACACACACACATATATATGTGTATATGGTGAGTAGCCTGTACGTACAGAAGTGTACACTCTGGAATGTATTTGTATACAATCATTCTTACGTATTGAAATACGAACGAGTCCTTCTGAACAGCCTAGCAAAGTGTTTGTAGGTACAAGTATGTCACACACCAAACTAATCAACGCACAACGATAATAAGATCAACTGACGAGAGCACTCACACTTTATAGAACAATTTAAGTTGCTGATAAAGAATAGTATGAATGCAACACTCATCATTCATCGTTCTCCTAACCCCGATCCCTCCACAAGCATACACAAAGCAACACCGAAATACAGCCGTCGCTCATACGCACTTCCGGTGGAGGTTCAAAGTCAATGTTATGTGCATAGGCACACAATAGATACATGTGTAACTCGGATCTGCAAATACTCTACACCTGTTGGCAGACCTCAGAGCATGCATGTGTATAATATATAGGATGAACTCAATGCATTTGACTACAGCTACACGTGAATTCTCACCGATGGGTGATGGGTGCGAGTCCAACACAAACAGTCGCAGTGAATTGGGCTGCCGCGAATAAAGCCTACAATACATAAATACTAAACTATTTCTCCGTATCTGTAACTACACACCTGACTCCACACCAAGGTCTGTATGTTGAGCAGAAACAGCCCTCGACGATTATTGTGCCCGAATGGAAAGCCGGAACCTCCAAACACAAACATGTACGAGCCATCCATCACAGCCGTGTGCGATGCAACGCCTTTGGGGACGTCTCCCCGGCACTCTAGGCATGTCCACGTCATGGTAGGGATGTGCAGACGGTACATGTCGTTCACACAGCGCCTGTGTGCATGCAAGTGTGTGCGTGTATGTAAGTAGGTGTGGGTGGGACTATATGTGCACCTGCGAGTGTGTGTCTGCAAGTGTGTGCGTGTATGTGAGTAGGTGTGGGTGGGACTTTATGTGTCTTTCCATGCGAGTACGTGCATACAAATGTGTACCGTGTGTAAGTAGGTATGTGTGTAAATGTACGTGTCTTCCCGGTGCACTAAAAGTAAGTCCATGTCTATGCCAGAGAGGTATGGCCTGTACATGGCGTGCGCACAGCGCAAGTGTGCATGCGCGTGCACGTGTGCGTAAGTAGGTATGAGTGTAGCTGGGCATGTCTACATCTGCGAGTGAGTGTGCTATAGACGAATTGAGTACATTAACGTATCAGGAAGGATGCACGAAATTTAACGAGAGCTTTCCGTACGCACTCTTTAGCGTGTTCATCAGAGCAGACGGTACAAACTCTTCATATAGGGACCTGTGTGCGGGTGTAAGAGTATCTCGGGTGTAAGAGTGTCTACCTGTACGCATGTCTATTCATGTTTCTGTGCATGAATGCGGGATTTGTGCTTGTGTGCACTGCCACCAACGGTTAAAGAAGTAGCATACATAAATCGTATATGTAGATATATACAACATACGTACCTAATACATATATCGTGCACGACGTACCTAATACATATATCGTAGACGTAGACGTATACAAGATACGTCCCTAATACATATATCGTGCACGACGTCCCTAATACATATATCGTACACGACGTACCCAATACATATATCGTATACGTAGATGTACACAACATACGTCCCTAATACATATGCTCGCAACTCCAAGTAGGACCATAAAACTTGTTACTGGAACCATCCGAGCCAACCTCGTTCTCTACCTACACATCTTCCGTATGAATCGCCACAGCCCTCCTTGTCCAGCACACCCACTCATACTCGATACCGACACATCTGACTCAGTAACCTCCGAAGAAACCACTCACCTGTCGTAGTAACCACCGAAGACAAACATGTTCTCGCCCCCATCGTCGCACACAGCTGTATGGCCACTGCGACCACACGGCCACTCACCCGTCGCCGCTCCTTCCACCAGCCATTGGCGTCTGGACACGAGCATTTTATCTGGGGTGGATGGACATGAGATGAATACCACGTTTAAACTTACAACATATTAATCTGGATAGATATCACATGACTACCAAACTCGACTGTCAATATATCGATCCTTTGTTCTGTTTGGTTGTATTGGACACACAGGACCACATTATCGCGGGCGGATAAGACGCAAATGGGACACGTGCAATACATATAACAGGATGGTTTGTTCAATATGCTTCAATTTAGACTATCGAACAGTCACACAGTTACTGTGTAGTGGTAGTGGTCGGCCACTCGACTAGCCGCTGGCATCTGGACGCAACCAATTGGCAACAACCGTTACCGACTGAAGACTATCCTCTTCATGTGATTCAGATTCATAGGACGAGACGAACATATACTATGAATGGATGAAAATCGATTGTAGCGTACACCTATATATATATATATATATATATATATTACATGTATACACACACATATACACACATACATATATATATGATATATATATATATATACATATATATAAATATATATACACACACAATACACACACACACACACATACATAGATACACATAGATACACACACACACACACCCATTCATATATATATATATATATAATGATTCTAATAGTAATAACAATAATAACAATATATAGACATACATGTAAAATTAAAAAAATAACATATATATATACAATCGTACAATCATGCATACACACTTATACACATACACACACACACACACGCATATATATATATACATATATAAACACACATGTACACATAAACACATACACACACACATAACACACACACATAGAGAGAGACACACACACATGCATATAAATGTACATACGTACATACACATATACATGCATACATTGTACATACATACCTATATGCATACATCCACAAATACAGTTTATATATATATATATATATATATATATGTATATATATATATGGATATATTTTTAAATTTAAATGTATATACATACATACATACATATATACCCGTACATACATACGTATCACAAATAAATACAGATGGAGATGCATACATACACACACACACACATACAAACACAAAACACACACACACACACATACAACGCAACACACACACACACACATACACGACACACACACACACACACACATATATATATATATATATGTATGTATATACACACACACAAATATATATAAACATACATATATGAATCATAATCACGTATTCTTGTAAACCACTCTACACTCACAAAGATTAGATCGACTTACGAGACTCAGGAGGAGCGTCAGATGCAGATGGCATGTTGCCCACTTCCAACGGGGAGAAGGCAAATACTGAATCTAAGACGTTTCGCAGTACTAAACCGAACATGTACTCTGGGTGCTATTTAGTCAACCAGCTGTGGTGTATGTTTTTATCTTCGAGGTAAGAGATGACTACGCACACCTGTTATCTTATAATACTGATTGTTGATGTGCTATTTTGAGATAGTAGTGCTTAAGTATATTTCATGTATATGTCTGAGGTGGCTTCTAGTTGCTTACTAACTTTAAATCACTAAACCGGTAGTATGATTTTGGTGGATGAACTTATCCACAGCAAGGCATTTAATCCGCGAACAATTGCCACTACACGTCAACGATGACTTCTTTCCAATTTCCGTACAGATATACAAACTCAAACTATACAGTGAACTATGTAGCGAAACAGCAATGAAGTCTTCTCTGAAACTGTCACGCGAATGTACGAAGCCACACTATGCGTACTGCATTTGGTATACTGCGAATAACTGCGTAAGAGTATTCTGATTACGGATTACTGATTACTGATTACTGTCTACTGTACCCGTACTTCACTGTATGTATATATAAATACTTTTATGCTGATGTGGCACCAGTCACCAGCCACCAGCCACCGCACAGATATCGCACATTTTATTTTTCCACAATATTGATGACGTGAATTCTCATATTGAATTTGTTGGATTTTCTGAGACTTGAGAGCCTCTGAGGCTCTGAGCCTTGTCATAAGACTCTGAGCCCTGAGGCCCGCGGCCTGGGGCCCTGGGCATGGGGGCATTGAGGACTGAGCTCACGGATTCCACGCAGTATATTTTTAAATTTTGTACGTATGTATGACTGTTTGACTGTAATTATTTTGTATAAAATATTCGAGTAATTATGTTCATCAGTTTCTCACGCGCATGCAAATATTTCCATCATGCTTGGAAACCTAAATTCTAGAAAACTTCACAAAGCATTGGTATTAATTTTCACACAAGAGAGAGTAAATATGTGCCTACATAAATAGAGTTTTAGGGATTTAATTTAATAAAATTTTCATAGCATTCTTTAAAAAATTTGTTTTACTAAAAAAAAATGCTTGTCTTTTAAAAAGCAAAACAAAACATAATTTTTTTATTAAAAATTGGCATATCCTCCTAAATTGAACAAAATTGACAGGATTGTCATTTTGCATAAAGGCGAATTAAGAATAGATGTATAGTATGTAGTCTTTTTGAGGGGGGGAGGGGGGTTGGATGCTATGCTTTTTGGATTTTATAAAGTACAAAAGAAGTAAATATATCAATGGCAATTTAGTAGTTTTTAAAGTTTTATTTAGGGCCGCTTTTATTAATGGAAGTATAGTTTTTCACGATATTCAAGAGTAAATATGTAGTTTCAAAGGCGAACCAATATTTATTAAGTAAATAGTATGCATAGAGGCTGTGGATATAGTGATACAAAAACTACGATGTATTGTTTATATAAAAAATATATATGCAAGAGTCTGAGTAACAGACTCCTCATTTAAAAAAATAATTTCTTCTCAGACCTAGCAAGAAAAAAAAAGTTAATAAATCACACGGCTGGGAAGCCGCGGAGATTGAAAGCGTATACTCATAAGGGGTAGTAATTTTTGTTCATTCGGATTAAAAGTAGTAAAATGAGCCTACCTATTACACGCCCTTTTAGCCCTATATATGTGCCATCATATTATATAATACAATAAAACACAAAAGAGACCTGAGTTCAGAACTTCAGACTCAGGGCCGCAGACCAGGGGGTCT